ATAACTTAGTTATAATATTATAATAATTAGAAAATTAACTAACCTGAGTAAAAATGTTTAACTAATGTCTAATTTAAAGATGATATATTTAATCGCTCAGAAACATTGTCAAATATAACAGTTAACTTCAAATTTAAATTCATAAACAATTTTACCACACAGTTAAATATAAATAGACGGAAAAATATGTGCACTTATTTTATGTATTTTATATCAAGTATTGTTTTCCAYGAACCGTACATCTGACATGAGGTAAATTGTTTCAGGCAGAGGTTTTGGTTGAGGTGACAATAGAGTTAACATTTGTTCTAGAGGGGAAAAAATGTATTAAAATGGTTGAACATCCAAATGTTGTAATATATTGAATGTTTCCAAAAAATACTTACCAACCTAACCAGCAACACTAGTCTTAACAACATCTACCATTCTACTAAAACTTAATATGTGATGCATCATATTTGGCCCTGAAAAATTTGTCAAAAAATTWAAAAAAAAGAAAAGATTTTATGGAAAAATATTCCTATTAAATAATATTATATRTAATACACTAAATGTTAATATTTAACAATTTACAAATTTGTAACAGATTCAAGTTTTGTCTCTAAATCAGTTTTTTGTGTGTCTAATGGCATCAATGTATTTGGAATATATGGCGCTCCAATTCTATATACTTTTATGTCACAAAATCTTACTTCACAAGTGCGTGGATGTAGTACATTCCCTAGGACTACCGTAGCAGAAACCTACGAGTGCTCACTAGAAATCCTGTCAAATAGGCGTCGGGACTAGACCTTCGTGACTTCATGAAAATGGCCATAGGAAAAAAAAATTAATTTTACGTCCTCTTAAAATCAATATAAGTTAAATCAAATTTATAACATCACAAAGATTAAAATTAATTTAATTGTTAAATTATTTATGATCAATATAATATTACAGAACTTTTTTATAAGATAAGTTTTAACCATATATTAACCATACACCTGTACATATGAAATTTCATTTAATACATCCAAAAAATGAGTAAAACTTATCAAGAATAGAATTTATTGAGACATACAAAAATATTCACTTTAGTTGCTTTTGTTGACAGAAATAATTATTAATATACTGTATGCCTGAAATTTCTTTTTTTAGCTTATGTTAAAAATATTCTTATTAGAAAAGTTTTACTGCAATCACAAATAACAATGGTCTTATTCTGAGTATGGTGGGTTAGATGTGTATTTTATTTATTTCAAGAGAATTTTTTACTTTATAAGACAAATAATATAATTGTGGGTCTGTCCACCAAAACTTAAGGCAATATACAACTGCCAATAAGCACACATTTTTATCTCAATAATTTGGGATTTACTAAATTAAAAACAAAAAATTTGCTGATATTTTTGTATAAAATTGACTATAGTATCAAAAGACATTTGGGTCAAAAACAAATTCAGATTTTTCAAAGGAAACAGATATTTTAGAAGTGTAATGTAAAATTCTTAAAAAAATAAATAAATTTTGTTATGTATTGCAAGGAGTGTTGACTGCATCGCTTACCACATACAAGTTTCATTAGGCAAAGCCATTTATATTATTTTGTCTTGCAGCCTATTATAGAKGTACATACATTAACCAATAAGTAATATAATAATAATCTTAATGGATATACTTACTCCACCACTTTTTGATAAAAGAACAACTTTAACAAATACTGGGATATCTCTCACTAGTTCATTGTATAATCATTCTTGATCGAGTACAAGAATAACATCAACTTCAAAAGCAAGTGCAATGCGGGTCAAATACTGGTACCTTTGTCTTTTACCCAACCACATGTGTTAATTATTAATCCAGAACAGTTAACTGCAAAAAATAATTAATACGGAACTTGGACATAATATAATATATTAATTACTAAATATATAATCTTAAGCTAATTAACATTGAATATACAACTAAGGAAGAGCCCAATTACAACTAAAAACTTTTTTTTTAACTACAATTATTATTTAATATTTTAATCTTATAGAAGACAATTAATTACTAATTTTTAAACTACAAGACAATAATAATAAAATATATATAAAATATTTATAAAAAATATAGCAACTAGGAAGTTCTGATATTTAAATTTTAAAACCTGCTAATTACAAGCATGTGTTATATAAAAAAAATTAAAACTAATAGCCATACAAAAAATATAAATATATTTTATAATAGAGTATTTGATTTCTTGTTAATATGAAACAATATAATTTTAGTTGTTACTTGTTAATATTTATGTAGTCACAGTAATGAGTTATTGATTGTTTTCAATTAAATATCAGACATCATTGAGATACTGAATAAGTCAAATTTTACGCATCTACCTATATTTAATGTAAAATGACTAAAATTCCACAACACATATAGGAACTTTACCAGTGTAGTAGTATTTTTAAATTTTTTTAAAACACTAACTAATAATTTATATTAATTAAATTAAATTTAAAAAAAAAACCTAATGTTCACACACTGATAAATTAATAAAATTTAATAATAAAATAATAAAATAAAATAATATAATAATATAATATTAATAATAATAATAATAATAATATAATAAAATAATAAAATAAATTTAATAATAAAAATTCTTTGTATTTTTTTTTTAAATAATAAAAAACACTACAACAAAGATAAAGTTCTTCCCTACCAAAGTGGAATTTTGGTAATTTATACTAATATAAATGCAAAGGGAGTATAGTATAGTAATATAGTAAAACAGTTTTTTCTGTTATACGTTTCTTAAGATGGAGAGACAACTCATGCATGTGTTCCATCCTCTTAATAAATATTTATAAAATATTGAAGGTAATACTGAACAATTATAATTTATAATTAAGCTAAAATTCACGTTATTCTATATTGACCCATATATTTTTTAAATAATATACCTAAACATATAATAGATGTAAATAAAAATTACTTCTAGGATTTTCATTAATTTGTTGATGAATAACTTCAGCCATACGTCATATTAAAGTGTTGTGCAAAGTTGAATTAATACTCATATTTGTATGTCCATAGTGATGCTTCAGCTGGTCTTTCTACCATGACTGTTCCTGAAATTATTCTTCTCATTAGGACTATATTCAATTATGATGAATTTAAAATCTTTACAAACCAATGGTTCCTGAAACTGATATTTGTCCTGACTCGAGTCCAAGTCAACATAGATGGGTCTACGGCCAAGAGCATTCATTATACACTATAGTTCAGTAGTATTCTACAAAGAGTAGATTTACCAATTACCAACATCAGCCGGACCGACCACCATTGTAACAGGGAAAGATAAGGTCTTTTCTTTTTCTGATTTTAGTTGTAGTTATTCTAATGATGCATGACCATTTAGATAAAACATCTAAAATATTAAACAATGTTAAAAAATTTAGTTTGTTTTCCAACTGATAAGTATTCAAATATATAGCTTTTTTTTCTCTTATTTTATTGTATAAATGAAACTAAAAATAAATTGATTTACCAGGCGTTACATTACAGCCAACTGTTTATAAATATTTCACAACATTTTAGATATTTAGATTAAAATTTATTAAAATAAAATAATTAATTTAAAAATTATTTTTATTTAATTTTACAATCATACATCTAGGTGCAATATAGAAAAGTTGAGTACAGTATAACAGTACAACCAAACCTGTGTTATTATCTTAAACATGAGAGTTAAATGAAGTTTAAAAAAATTATTTCTGTAAGATATTGGCTTTTTTAATGTATTGTAATTTTTCTGTAATATAATATAACATATAATTATACCATTACTATATAAATTAAATTAACTGTAGATTTACTATTAGCTGACCTCGTAATGAAATCATTAAGTAAATTAAATAAAAATTTATAGCAATAGGTATACATGTGATTTTAATGTTTTAAAAACAATTATCACACTATCATGCATAAACATCATAATATAAAATTTATRAGTAATTTCCACTAAATATATTTATTAAACAATGTCATTATTCTTACCATTGGGGTCTCTTTGGATATATAACTTATTCCTTTTTCCCCTCGTAATTTTGATGACCACCTTTGCCATATAAATACCGCTAGTTTAGCTCCAAAATAAAATATATAAGATTTTCCTTTCACTATTTCTGTTCCAAAAATTTCTGCTAGTCCAGTTTTTAACTAAAAAAATAAAACATAAATATATTATGAATGATGTACCTAATCCATAAAGGAATATATTTAAGTGTTTTTAATTCTCTAATTGCACTTTAAGCATGTTTATATTTACATAGATGACTCAGGATCCTCACTATAGGTGTAAAAATAAAAGTCACTTGATACTAAATTATATTTAAATTCATTTCATGAAATAAATACAATAATTATTGTAAATATATTTAAAACAATTGTATTATTATATTATTATTAGTTTTTTGTGTATTTTAATTACATTTTTAAATGATTTCTTTTCAAATGCACCTTATAATTAATAGAACATWTAAATGTTTACTATTTATTATTAATATTAATCAAGAATAGTCTTGTAAAAAATACCTGTTGAAAGTATTCAAGTGCAAATAAAGATACTTATTTTGAAATGTATTAAATACCTACTTGAATACTCAGTAAAAATAAGTACTTATGGATAATTTCAAACAGTGATGTGACGAAGGGGGTAATAGAGAGACAGCCGCCCCGCGATTTTTTTAAAATAAAATTTTGTGTTATTTTAATTAATCTCATAATATGGTTCTAAAATTGCCTAAAAGGGGCAATTTACCCATGTTATGATTTTATAAGACACTGTTAAGAGGGAGATGTAAACCCAATGTTTATTGTTAAATAATAGGTGATCGTAGGTGGGTGGGTGGTCATAGAAAAATTTACTTGCCTCTGAAAATTCTTTATTTTGCCACGCCATTAAGCTCAAATACCTACTTTCAATTTTTTTACMTTATAAACTAATAAAAATGTCATGTTTTTATAGATCATTTTATACTATATCATATGGTATACCAATCAAATTAAACAGATCTGATTTTTTTTAAAGTGTTAGAGTATGCAGTGGAGTATAATTCATAGAGAAAAAAATCAATTAAAAATTTTATTTCATATTACGCGATTAAAATTTAAATTAAAATACCAAGAAAATGTATAGATTAAAACAAATAAGTATTTGATTAATTAAATACATATACTTTGGGAAAGTAATTAAAATGCTTTGTTAAAATATTTTTAAATGTAATTAAAATGTATATTTGAGAAACTAAAAACTAAAAAGTATTTGAACACTTTTACTCAAGTAGGTACTTCACAAGGCTGATTAATAATACCGACGATACCATGATAATTTGAAAACTATTTCATTTAGGTACCATTAATCCATTAAATGTAATATTATTTTAATATTATACCATACTATCATACTAACATAACAATATTGAAGATATTATAACAAAAACTAATAATATGTAATATTGTGTAGATACTCGAGTCTAATTTTATTAACATTGTTATACAATTACTGGCTACCATTATATTAAAATAATGTATCAGATGTACCATAGATAAACCATTTTTGATAAATTTAACAAGTAATACTACATGTCTACATATTTTATACACAGGACTATAGGTGATACTTACTTATAACACAACTGTTTCATTTATTTTCTCGACTTCAAATCTAAGTTCATTGTCAGGTTCCAATTGRAATTCCTGATCTTCAATTTGAACTTCTACACTTTCTGACATGATTAAAATGTAGCATGTAGGTATATTCAATATTTCAAAGCACTGCAAACACATATAAAAACATTATTAAAACTCTAGTTTAAACCTAAGTATAACAAGAAAATAAACGACTCAGCATCGCCATTTAGACATTTTCTAAACGAAATCAAGACACACAAGATATATGCTACCTAATCATCTCAATGTCTTACAAAAGTTAGTTCATTAATTATATCAAAAATAAACTTACAACTACGGAATACGGATACCGTTGACCAAATAGTTGAATTTGATCATACGCTATTTAGTATATTATACCCATCAARATGTATAATACACCCGACAACTATGATAAGAAATACACATGCGCGATAAATGTCCATGATAACATAACAATATACAAGCGATAATTATATTCTTAGATCATATACAAATATACAATGGATAGAGCTACTGGCTAAATATATGAAGCCAACAAAACTAAGGTGAATCGTCGAAACTGCGCATGCGTGCAATTTATATCTCGCGCAGTCGCGCGGTTGAACCGCAACACCACTGCGGCACAGTCACTGTGATCTAAGATATTATATAAGTAGTAATCACCGTCAGATGTTGTTATCGAGTTAATAGACACGGTGTATTTTGTTTTTGGCTTCAATTCAGTATAATATTGTTATACAGTGTCGTGATAGGGAACGGCTCCTACAATATACTAATCTCTGTGTTACCTATTAGATCATAATATACATTATACAAGTATAATAAGTATATTACCCTATGAGACACACGATAATGTTGTCCTGAAAGATTATTCATTGTTATTATTAATATTATTCGTTGTTGCATAATACTGCTAAACTCGTAATACCAGTAGGACGTCGCTCGAGACCCTGTCATACCCATCGCGTCGTAAAATAATTAAAATTTCGTCGTCACCCAGCATACGGTTAGTACTCTCCATTCACGCGATCCCGTCGAACGGTACAGCGGGTGAAAACATCGACAGCGCTTTGTATCAGACTCGCGGAAAACGYCGTACCGACTGGCGTGCGCGCTACGCCCGTTCTCAGTCGTTCACCTCGCGGGATTGCCGATACCCCTCCGCGCTCGACAGTCCGTTCCGTTCTATWACTTAATTAGCGAGACAATCGTCCCGTGTACCAGCCAACCGCCATGGCCGCTTTTAGTACCGCGTTCGCGGTGACTGTCTGCTGTTTCGCATTGTTCGGTTCGACGTTCGTGTCGTCCGATGGTGCTGGTGGAAATCCGTCCAAGAGCGTTCACCTCGGCGGTGGCAAAGGACCGATCGAAGGAAAACAACAAACGCTCAAGTTCCTGTACTGGTGAGTGTGGAAACCGTTCGCCGTTTAACAAAGCCGAATGATTTTCTTTCCTCTTGGGGCCTCAGATTTTGTCGTTATTTTATTACATTAAATTTTTGTCATTTTATTTTTTGGTTAGCCGCGCGAACTTGGGTTATCGACCGTGCATGCCCCCCCTCCCCCCTCCCATAAGGTAATTTTAAGAGGAGGAGCATAATGAAACTAGATTCTTAAACCTATTATTCTGGACAGGCCTAAAATTATTAGTTCACTCATTATACCTACGTAAGTTAATAACCATTAAGTAAAAGCCTATAGTACCAAGTATGGTATTTAATATTTAATTAGTAGCTAAATGGATTCAAAACATATATAATTTTTTTTTTTGTATACCTATATTATTGTTTTCTAGGGGAGAGACATGTCCTCTTCCTTAATGTGCGCCCTTGTTAGAGACCCTTATTTCTAGCATTTTTTCTGTCATTAGGATTACTATTAGTCATCTAACCATACATTGCAATGAGTACTGTGCAAGCGCTGCACTTACAATTATAATTATTTAGCTACATACCTAATCATTTATTAGAAATAAGGTATTATTTAATGAGCATTTACTTATTTTGTAAGTAGTCACTTCCTTAGTTGTTACGATATTTATCCCTTGAATTACATATTTAATTTGTGTACATTAGTGAAGTTGGTAATTCCTATTGTTGTCCACACTTTTATTCAATATAGGTAGGTATATTTAATTTWAAAAAAAATGACATAATATGGTTTGTTGCTGTAGGTACTAGGTACATTGATACACTTTTACAAAACACTTTCATTCTTACTTCATTATTTTAAGCACATATTTTTTTTATCTATTGCAATTTTTCAAACTCCCACTTTTAAGYATTTGATTTTAAATTTTAAAACAATATATTTTTAAACCTAGGTATATTATTTTAGTGTCTTATTGTATAGTGTTATTTTATTGTTATTTTTTTTTCAGTTACTCTTGCGGATATCAAAAAGCATTTGATCAATACTCAAGTATTCTTAGTGAAAAATACCCTAATCTTCACATTGATGGAGCAAATTATGACCCTTCCATGGCACACTTACTAGCTGCCAAAATATTGGTATGTAGATTTTGATAATATTATGATTATCTATAAACATTTTGAAAAAAAAATTTTTAGAGCCTTGCAAAAATGATAATTATAATTGCTATTGGATCTGGAATCAACTTATTCGAATATATTGGAAAGCAGCAACCAAACTGGTGGATCTGGTGTACATCTAATAAAATCTATGCTTGTCTTGTGGTATTTTTTGGTTCAAATATGTTTGAAGGAATGCTTATTTCAACTGGTGCATTTGAGTTGTATTTAAATGGTAAGCATGTAAAACATATTATCCCGTTGGGATATTTTATAATATAGATTTATTCATTTACAGATATTCCTGTTTGGTCGAAATTGGAAACTGGAAGGATTCCTCAACCTGCTGAATTAATACAAATCATTGATAACTATTTATTGTTTGAAAA